AGAGTGCCCCCCCCCCCCCGTCAAGTGACACAGCAGAGCTTTCACAACTAGAAAGCTGAGTAGGCCAGAGAAAGAAATAGCCTGTATCACTTCCATTTCATATGATATAGCTCTCCTGGAGTACAAAGGCACAACAGATTTTCCTGCTTCTACTTAATTCCTCATCTAGGTTCTCCTCACCTCCGTCCCAAAGCACCACTACTCACCAGACTTCATGTTCTTTGGGATACAACGTACGCATTTTCCACGACTCTGACCTGCTATCTCAGCCTGCTGTTTCACTGACCATGAATCTCACCCTGTTACACTTTCATCCACACTTCCATTCTTCAAAAGTTCATAATTCATGCCAACTTGACACTGGGAAATTTCTTTATGTCAAAAGGAGAGCTGTCCATACATGCGGACAAATTCACGTCATTATCAATCTACATACTATCGCTTGTCACAACTCTGCCAAGGAGGACGCATGGAAAATATGATAGGATTACCTGTGAGATTAGCTGCCATCTCTTCAGCAGTCTGACACAGCCTCAGCCCTTGTTTCAGGGGACCTTCCGAGTCCACATACTGACGGCGCTTGAGGTAGCAGGACACTGCCATCTGAATCTGTTCTGTGCGTACGCGTTTCATGACCTCAAAAGAAAAGAAAGAGATGATGAGGCTCTTACTGTGTAGGTATACACTAAGATCAACATACACCATACCTGTATTAAAACTGATAGAAAACAAATGTCTCAGTATTTTGATTGCTGAAGTCAAACAACTACATTACTGAAGTATGAAACAAAACCTTTAGGCATTTGCCTCTCAGTACTAAGGTGTAACTAGACACTTTGAGTCAGATCCCTGAAGGTATTTTGCTGCCTAATTCTACTAATTTCACCAAGGAATCAAAAATACTTTTGAGGATTCCGGACTAAAACTGCAGTGTTGAGCTGAAGCATTTGGTTTTGTTAAAAATAACGCATAAAAAGGGAATGATTCCCCTCCTTGCTTTTTTACAGTAGCAGTTTGGGTATTCTTCACTCATTTTCTGATTCCACTGCTTGACCAACCAACAAAAAAAATTCCAGAAGAGTCAAGGGAATGAGAAATTAATATACGAAGAAGGACATTTCAGAATCATAATGTTTTATACAGCACACCTATTTGTGGGGTCCAAGAAGCAATAGCTTATCGTCTGAACTTAACGGTTAGAGCCAGACTTCTGGCACTTCAGTTAAGTAAGTCCGGAGGAAAAAAAACAGGGAAATTAAAACAAAAGCAGAGCCTTCTACCTTTTTCACCTGCGCCCATCTATTTAGACTTCCCTCCTACAAAAGTAAAAAAAAAAAAGAATCCTTTGAGGTTTCCTTTATATAAATTTTGAAAGCCATCCTCACAAACACCACTTGGTAGTATCTCAAAACCAAAAGGAGCCAAATGCTAGCTTTTAGCCTCTGGCTTGTAATAAAAGAACCTCAGTAAGACGAATGCAATAGCTCCTTGCTATTTGACTGCTCCCTGATTGCCACCAATCCTTCGCAACAGCCATCGATTTTACACAGAAGTTCAGATAACCTAAAAGGCTTTAAATAAAGTAGAACTAAGTAACAGTTTTATTCTACCAGAGTAACAGGTAAAGGCTGACTCAAGATAGTTCTTCTACACCTTACAGCCCCATTACCAACGACCTGCACACGCCTTCTGGTTCGAGTAGCTAAATCTGATGAAACACAACTTCTCAGAGAGACAGACAAGGATGCCCTTCCCCCCTTCTAAGAACCATATTTTTAACAAAACGACAGCTTTAAAAATATGATCATAAATGAGCCTTTTCTAATACCCGTGCACACTTCAGTGCTTATTCCTGTTGTTAGAACAATAAGCCCTCTGTGAAGTTCCAAGTGGACGGGGATGCAAGGTTTCAGAAAAAGTTACTTTAAACAGATATGTGGAATTGCAAACCCGTATGCTTTGGCGAAAACCTTAAAAAGATTTCCATTTGTTCTCACAGGTGAAATAACTGCTGAGGGTGGGCAAGGGGCATCAACAGGTGTGGAGTTTTCAAAACATTTCCAGATAGACCCATTAAAATCATGAGTTTCAACCACAACTTTTTCCACTCCAGAAGCAAACTTCCTTTTTATCTTCTTTGCAATGAAAGAAATTATATCTGAAACTTACATTGTCTCAAATACAATACTTTTTCTGCTGCACAAAACCAGAGGAAAACCAGAATTCTAATGGAGACCATGAAGACAGGGATGGACCAACATCTTAACACCCTCCTAAAAACAACCCTTAACTAAGTTTCGCAATGCATTACGTTACTATTTTGCATTTCAGCCAGCAGCACGGACTCAGGTACAAGTGACTTGCTGAGGTCCACGCTAACACCTCTGCGTGCAGTCTGCCGTAGAGTTTAGGTTTGGGTAGCAACTTAATTATATCTGAGATGCTCTCATAGATGCTTATTTCAGGTCTAGAAACTATTTTGGAGAGTTTGCATCTAGATTGTTGTATTTGGCTTATAACCCAAAAGAAACTCATTCCCAGAATGGCACGGAACAGATTCAAGTAGATGTTTCTGAAGTGGTTTAGCCAGTCAGAATTGCGCAGATCAGCCTCAGGTCTGTGGTTCAATTGCAGAGAGAGCATCTAGAAATATCCTTGCCCATACTTTTTTGCTTCAGTTACAGGATCAATTTGTGCTAGGTTAAGATTTGGTGAGAAAACCCTTATTCATTATGGCACGGCATGCACATACAGGTAATTCCTCATAAACTTATAACAGATTGGACAAACCGAAAACTGGTGCGCGAAAGACGCAGAACTCCAGAGGACCCTTTGAAAGAACAGTGACAAACAAGAGCAGCAGCTTGAAAAGGCTGATCTCAGTGTTCAATGAGCAGATGACCAACAGAGAAAATGGTAAATTTTAAGTAACAGGCAAAAATAGCAGTAGGTTACCCAGTAGTCTCAAATTCTAACATCAGGATCGGACATTTTAGCAGCAAGAGAGAAAGGCCTGAGAAATGAGCAGTCGCTGCCTGATGATTCAAATCTGAGCTTTTTCAGAGCTTTGGGGATAATGGGGAAGCCCCAGTTTCTTCAGCCAAGGCTAGCACGGCAGCCTTTGCAGCTGCTTTATGCAATCTGTACAGTTTCTTGCTCCCCTCACATACCTTGTATACTCCTCCCAGCAGTCACAGTAGTGGGTGTTACAAGCAGTTATCTCGGTGAGATCTCCTTCCCTGCTCCCAGGTGACAGAACAGGAACTACCTTACAGAAAATGCATCTTCACCAAGAAACACCCCTTGGCATCAGACACACTATCACCCCTGCTTTCATTTCAAGTCTTTGCTTCTTCATGCACTTTACGTTTATACTTCACCTTCAGCATTACAAAGAGCAATGTCACAGGTGCGGGGAAAGCGTTCACAGAAAGTGCAAGAAAAACAAAACCAACATTCCTACAAATATTCTTTATCAAGTCCTAAAAATTAGAGTATATCATAAAATAAACATGAGGACGGTCTGCCAAAATGCCTTTAGCTGGGTTCAAGCTCAGCCAGTTCACAACAGGTCAACGATGCAGAATTTAAAGGCAAAAAAGGACAAGCCTGCCATTTTAACCTCCAATAAATTTTAAGACTCTAGCTCTCATCGCTGAAGATAATCTCCAAAATCTGAAGCAAACTGAAAGCATACAGCGTTCCCTGTCCGTGCCTGCAGAAAGCTTGAAACAATTGTTCAGGAGTCCCAGGTGCCTTGTTCTTCTCAAACTGCCAGAGAGAACAATAAATGCTAATGCCATTAATTATTTTTACTGATAAGCAAAATACATAAGGGAAGGGAGAAGAAAGATTGCAGCGGGATTCTGCAGAGCTACAACGCAGCGTCTTCTGCAGTGTCACAAATTGGAGGAAAAAAAAATTATATTAGGTTAATTTCTGAGGAACCAAAAACACTGAAGAAACCTATAGGAGAGGCTGATCATACAAAACACATCACAAGTTCCTCTTTCCTAGAAAAGCTGGAAATCAGCTGTGTACTAAGCACCAGGCCAAGGAAATTCATTTTCTGCCTATCCTATACCTCAGGTACAGGTTTAGGCAGACTCCACAGCCTTGAAATATTACCAGCACAGACATACAAAAAAAGTGTGAAAACTAGCGTTGGAAACGCTGCTTTTAAGGATTCTGCATTCCTGTCCTGACACTGGGAGTGCAGTCTCTTCCTTCCAACAGACTGAGGAAAGACCTGTGAGCATCAGAGTAGAACCAAGGACAAGCAATCTTAAAAAAACCCCAAAACCAATAAAATAACCCACAGAAGCACATTTTGAATATTCTCTACTGATAACTGTCTCAGGCCTCACTTGCGGGCAAAGAAGTACCATCTTTTCTCCCTTATCACTACAGGTGAAATTTGGGGTCTACCCACAATACTAAATCACCAAATTTTTAATTTTAAGTTAATCTAACATTTCGTTAATCTAAGACTCACCAAATTTCAGAATAAGCACGATAAGGATAAACTGATACGAAGATAACTGTGAACCTAGAGCCGAGGGACTTCACACACGCAGCAGCTACAATTCAGAAGAACAGGCAAGTCAACACGGAGACGCAGCGTGGTGGTGGTGGTGGTGCAAAATAGGAAAAGTGCTGCAGATAGCAGGAGCTACCGGGAAGGCTTCTGCCTGAGCAGCGGCAGGGAGGAAACAGCTGTGATTTTAGAAGAGCCTGCATCCATTTGGATTGGACCTAGATTTGACTCACCATCCACGGAGTAAAGCTTTGCCAATTCCACAATGTTTTTTCTTTTTTCCCCTCAAAAGAGCGCCTTTCACCCCTTTGATCTCCTCTGCGCTACCTGGGCAGGACACACTTTACCCCTGCCCACCACACACCACCTTACGCCTTCAGCCTCCACCACCTCACTCTTCCTCCTC